CAGACAAGCGTGAGAGAGTCCCATCAGACTCATGATCCCTGCTTGGATCAGCTCACCTCACCCTACCCGGGGTCCTCCGCAAAGCTGGGGTCAAGGCCACATCAAGGCAGACTAGTGACCCACGGCTGGAGCTCCTGCCCTGAAGTCTGGGCCCAGCTGTGGAACACAGGGTTCCCTCCAGCTAGCTGGGGGTGCCCCGCCCTCCTCTGTGCCGCCCCCCCTCTGCCTTTGGGAGGAAGCTCAGCATGCCGGCTTCCTGCAAGCTCAGCCCTTTCCAGAGGGCGGACCTGCGGAGCCATGTAAACAGGGAACGGTCAGCTGCTTGCCCGGAGGTGGAGGCTCCGGTCCACTCAGGGAGGGGCAGCTCAGGAAACACACCTAGCCACCAACTGCTGCTGGGAAATCAGACCTGGGAAACCCGATGGCACCCAGCTCTGCTCTGACGCACGGTGAGTGGCCTTGAGTCGGAACTGGCTTGACGGCCAGCGGCGTGCTGGTTTGTGCCCCCGGACAAGCATCCAAAGTGGCCCTTGAGCAGACAGACAGGTGTCCCAGCGGTGTGTTTGGCAACTTGCACATGACACCCCTTCCACCTTCTCCAAGGCACCGGTTTCCCACTTGCGATGGTGAGGGTTGAGGTCAACTCCAAGCAGCTGATCCGTTCCTGGGGGCGGGGCTTCCTTGGGGGTGTGGCCTGCTTCCTACCTCTGGGGACATTCTGGCAAAGCGTCTTGCTGCTCCTCATCTGACCTCTGGGTCTTTGGACCGGCATCAGCAGCCTGCCCTACGACCTGCCCACTCTTAGGCTCGTCCAACCTGCCTCTCGGGAGAGGCCCCACTGTGGGACAGCCCAGAGGGTCGGCTCCTACCAGCAGTCCATGGGACATTGAAGTCTTCACCCCAAGAACTCTTGGGGGCCCGAATTCTGCACCAGCTGAGCTTTCGAATGAGTCCTCTTTCCTTGCAGCCTTCATGAGTTCAGTTTTATCCGAGGCCCAGCAGGAGCGGCCCACCTGTACAGCTAGACCGTCACCTGTGACCCAGGTGACGGCCAGCCACCACAGACAGGACCGGTGCCACGTGTGCTGTCCTCCCCCCATCCACTGGCGAGTCTGTCCAAATTCTCCTAGCTCTTAAGGAGCCCTCTGCCAGTGTCTGATCTTAGAGTCAGTTTGGGAAAACCTCAAAGGGGATTCAAGTTTTTTTCTAACTGTCTAACACAGGGGTCCTCAAACTTTTTAAACAGGGGGCCAGTTCACTGTCCCTCAGACCCGTTGGAGGGCCAGACTATAGTTTAAAAAAAAA